GAGATCGAGCCCCACATCGGGCTCCTTGTTCAGGGAGTCTGCTTCTTCCTCTGCCCCTCACCCCGCTCATGTTCTCTCTCTCTCACTTTCTCTCACTCTCTCTGTCTCTCTCTCAAATAAATAAATAAAATAAAATAAAAATAAAGATTAAAAAAATTGTAACAAGAGACAAAGAAAGGTATTATACAATGATAAAGTAGACAATTCATCAAGAGGATATACAATCATAAATATATATGCACCCTATATGAAAGCACCTAAATATATAAAACAAATAGCAAATTTGAAATAAGAAATAGGTAACAATACAATAATGTTAGGGGACTTTAATAACCCACTTTCAACAGTGGGTACATCATTCAGACAGAAAATCAATAAAGAAATGGCAGACTTGTACAAAACTCTAGACCAAAGAGTCTATGTATCTATTTGTAAACCCAATGGATATATATAGAACGTTTTATCCTACAGTAGCAGAACACACATTCTTCTCAAGTGAACATGAGACATTCTCCAGCATAGACTGTATATTAGGCCACAAAACAAGTCTCAAATTTAAGAAGATTGAATTTTCTGACCATAATGGTATGAAACTAGAAATCGTTAACAGGATAAAACTGGAAAATTCACAAATAATGGAAGTGAAGCAACAAGCTTCTGAACAGTCAAAGAAGAAATCGAAAGGGGAATCAGAAAATATCTTGAGAGAAACAAAAATGGAAACACAACATAGTAAAACTTATGGACAAGCAATTCTAAGAGAAAAGTTAATAGTGATTAAGGCCTAGTTTAAGAAAAAGATAAAGCTCCCAAGTAAAAAACCTAACTTTATACCTCAAGAAGCCCAAAGTTGGCAGAAGAATGGAAATAATAAAAATTATAGCAGAAATAAATCAAATAGAAAATAAAAAATAATAGAAAAGAACAACAAAACTAGAGCTATATTTTAAAAAAGATAAACTAACATAACATAATAAAAAACATAATGGCAAATTGTCAGATTTATTCTGTATTTAAATAAACAGATATTAGTGAGAGAAATGGTAAAAAAAATAAAAAAAGATAAACTAAAATGACAAATCGTTAGATAGACCAAGAAAAAAAGAGAGAAGACTCAAATAAAATCAGAAATGAAAGAGGAGGCATTAAAACCAATACCACAGAATTATAAACAAAGACTATTATAAACAGTATATACCAACAAATTGAAAAACTTAGAAGAAATCAGTAAATTTCTAGAAACATACAACCTACCAATATTGGATCATGAAGAAATAGAAAATCTGAACAGACTGATAACAAGTAAGGAGATTAACTTGTTAATCAAAAACCTCCCAACAAAGGGGTGTCTGGGTAGCTCAGTTGGTTAAGCATCTGACTCTTAATTTCTGCTCAGGTTAGAGTCTCAGGGTCATGAGATCGAGCCCTGCGCTAGGCTCTGCACTCAATGGAGAGTCTGTTTGAGATTCTCTCCCTCTCCTTCTGCCTCTCCCCCCACTCACATTCTCTCTCTCTCCCTGTCTGTATCTCAAATAAAGAAATCTTAAAAAACAACAACAACAACAAAAGCCCAGAATCAGATGACTTCACTGGTGAATTCTACCAAACACTTAAAGAATTAACTCTAACCCTCTCAAACTCTTCCAAAGAAATGAAGAGGCAAGAACACTTCTAAACACACTTTATGAGGTCAGCCAAACAAGTACACTACAAGAAAACAAAATTACAGGCCAATATCTCTGATAAGCATAGATTTAAAAAATCCTAAAATGAAGTGTTAGCCAACTGAATTCAACAGTATATTAAGAGGATTATGTGGAATTTACCCCTGGGATGACCCAACTTGTGCAAGGCAATAAATGTGATACACTAAATTAACAGAATGAAGGATTAAAATCTAAGGATCATCTCAATAGATGCATAAAAAGCATTTCACAAAATTCAACATACTTTCACGATAAAAAAAATCAACAGATTATGTCTAGAAGGAAATTATCTCCCATATATGACAAATCCACAACTAACATCATAGTCAACCGTGAAAAAAAGCTTTTCCTTTCAGATCGGGAACAAGGCAAGAATGCTTACTCTTGCCACTTCTATTCAATATAGTGCTGAAAGTTCTAGCCAGAGTAAATAGGCAAGAACAAGAAATAAAAGACATCCAAATCAGAAAGGAAGAAGTAAAATTTTCTGTTTGCAGATGGTATTATCTTATAAAAAGAAAACCCTAAAGATTCTGCCAAAAAACTGTTGGAACTAATAAACACATTCAGTACAGTTGAAGGAAAAATGAGTTACATTTCCATACACTAGCAAGAAACTATTTGAAAAAGGAAAGAGGGAAACAATCCTACGTACAATAACATCAACAAGAATAAAATATTGAGGAATAATTTAACCAGGAAAGTGAACCATCTCTATACTGAAAACTACAAAACATTGAAAGAAATTAAAGAAAACACAAATAAATATAAAGACATCCTGTGTTTATGGTTTGGAACAATTAATATGTTAAAATGTTCATATTATACAAAGCAATCTACAGATTCAATGTAATCCCTATCAAAATTCCAATGGCATTTTTTCACAGAACTAGAAAAAAGCATCCTAAAATTTATATGGAGCCGCAAAAGATCCTGACCGTCAAAGCAATACTGAACAAAAACAAAGCTGAAGACATCATACTTCTTTTTTTTGTTTTTTAAAGATTTTATTTATTTATTTGACAGAGAGAGACACAGCGAGAGAGGGAACACAAGCAAGGGGGAGTGGGAGAGGGAGAAGCAGGCTTCCTGCTGAGCAGGGAGTCCGATGTGGGACTCGATCCCAGGACCCTGGGACCATGGCCTGAGCTGAAGGCAGACGCTTAACGACTGAGCCACCCGGGTGCCCAAGACATCATACTTCTTGACTTCAAACTATATTACAAAACTATACTAATCCAAAACTGGGGTAAAAGAAGACATATAGAACAATGAAACAGAATCAAGGACCCAGAAATAAATCCACACGTTTACAGTCGACTGGTCTTCAACAAGAGTGCTAAGAACACACAATGGGGAAAGAATAGTCTTTTCTGTATAATGTGCTGGGAAAACTGAATGTCCACATGAAGAAAAATAAAATTAGGCCCTTATATCTCACCATGTACAAAAATAAACTTAAAATATATTAATGACTTACATATAAGACCCCAAACTATAAAATTACCAGAAGGAAACATAGGTAGGAAGCTTCGTGGCATTGGTCTTGGACATGATTTTTTGGCTAGGACCCCAAAAGCACAGGGAACAAAAGAAAAATAAGCAAATGGGATTACATCAAAATAAAAAGCTTATGCATAGCAAAGGAAACAATCGAAAGCATGAAGAGGTAACTTGCAGAATGGGAGAAAATATTTGTAAGCCTTATATCTGATAAGGGGGATGAACATCTAATGTGTATAAGGAACTCTAACAAATCAACAAGAAAACAAATAGCCTCATTAAAAAACAGGTAAGGACCTGAATTGATATTCTCACTAGAAGATGTACAAAGGCCAATAAGTACATGAAAAGATGCTCAACATCACTCATCATCAGGGAAATGCAAAGCAAAAACCACAATGAGACATCACCTCCCATCTGTCAGATTGATTATTATCACAAAGACAGAAGATAACAAGCATTGTCTAGGAAGTGGAGAAAAGAAACCCTTGTGCTATTGGTGGGAATGTACTTGGAGTAGCTATTATGAAGGTTCCTCAAACAATTAAAAATAAAACTACCATAGGATCCAGCAATCCCACTTTGGATATCTATCCAAAGGAAATGATACTAGTATCTTCCAGAGACACCTGCACTCCTGCGTTCACTGCGCCATTCTTTACAATAGCCAGTATATGCAAACAATCTAAATGTCTACCAGCCAGTGAATAAATAAAGACAACAAGGCACAGATACACAATGGAGTATTACTCAGCCTCAAAAAAGAAGGAAATCCTGCCGTTGTGACAACATGGGTGAACCTGGAGGACACTACGCTAAGTGAAATTAGCCAGACCCAGGTGAATACTGCATGACCTTACTTTCATGCGGAACCTAAAAAAATTAAACTCACAGAAGCAGAGAATAAACTGATGTTTTCCAGGCAGTGGGGGACCTGGGGAGATGTTGGTCAAAGCAAACAAACTTTAATTTATAAGATAAATAAGTTCTGGAGATCTAATGCACAGCATGGTGACTATAGTTAATAGTAATGTATACTTGAAATTTGCTAGGAGAGTAGGTTCTGAGAGTTCTTACCAAACACTCACACAAAAGGTAAGTGAAAAGATAGAAATGTTAATTAGCTCCATTCTGGTACTTATTTTAATAATATATGTATATCAAAACGTCACCTTTTATATCTTAAATATGCACAATTTTTTATTTGTCAATTATACTTCAATAAGCCTGGGGAAAAAGAATGCAGTGTGCCTTAGGTTTTCCCTGTGCCTTACCCACCTCCCCTCTGGGTCCCTCCCTGCCCCTGTGTTCTTTATCTGCCCATCACTGCTGTGGTTTGCATTCGAGTATAGGGGAAGGAGACATCTTTTGTGTTAGAGACCATGCCCTCCCCTGCCCAGGACCAGGACCTGGGCTTGTCATGCAAGCAATAAGTATATGTCCTTTGCAGAGAGAAAAGGAAGGTCTTCTGTGAATAAGGCAGTAGGAACAAGCAAATATCATACATTTTCTGGACTTCTTGAAGTAATATTTATTGTAGAAAAACAATGAATAGATCCTTAACTACTGGGGTCACTGGGCTTCCTCCTCTGTAGGATTGAAGATTTATCCCAGCTCTGACCACTCCTTCAGCCTCAAGGGAGAAGCCCCTGAGCTGGCTGGTGAATCCTGAGAATATAATCTCCCCACACAGGAAAGAATGTCCGAGCCCCAAGAAGGGGGAGAGAACCCAGGGGGAGAGAGAGGCTGTCCGTGCCCCACCTGGAGACCTCAACGAGCAGTTCTACTCACCCAGGACCAGCACTGACAGCCACAGCAGCATGAAGACCTGGCCTGCCCAGGGCTGAGACCAAAAGAGAGGTTTTCTCAGGAGTTTTGATCTTAGAGTAGTATGTTGCCCAGCAGCCCCAAGGAGCACATCTGAGAAATTTCTTTTTCAAAGAGCAGGATGCATTAGTGAATTAGAAAACAGGAAGTGGAAGTCCCCATTTTAACTCCTCATCAAAATTTCCTGCCCTGTGATCAAAGTGAGAAAATAATGCTAGGGTTTTAAAAAAGCACATACTCCTGTCCCCACATTTCTAATGTTGAGAAATTACCTTAAGGAATGCATAGACAGTCTAAAAGAATGTGTATGGTAGTGTCATTCATAATTGCCAAAACACTGCAAGCACATGAATGATCACAAATGCGGGACTGTTTACAAATATTCTGATACATCTCTACAACAATACACAATGCAGCTATTAAGGATGAGACCAACCCGCACAGATCAGCTGGCAACACCACCCTGGTTAGTGGGAAGAGGAGAACGTAAGGAGGAGATTGATACATGTAGTGTGGTCCCAGGGGGGTACATGTGAAAAAGGGAATCCGTGTGTGTAACAACTGATAGAAATATACTTTTTTTTTTCCCTGGAAAGTAGACTTAAAATAGTAGTTGCATTTAAAGAACTGTGGATGGGAAGGAAATATTTGTTTTATGTCTTTCTATACTGTTTGATTTTTTTGAAAAATTACTATGTATGTGTATTGCTTTTATAACTTTTTAAGTCAAGTTTCCATCCTGGTCAACAAAGATCCTGAAGACATTAGTACCATGAGGAATGCCAATTTCTTCCTTTCCAATAATGTTTCTTATCCCTTTTTTTCAAGGTTCATACCTTGGTCTCCTAAGGGGACATTTCACGTCTACAAATGCACATCACCTTACATATATTATGCTACCTCCCACCTGCTGTGCTCGGAGACAAGAAAAGTATATAAGGGTAAATAGAGATTAATCCATCTTAGTCCAGCAAAGAGCCTTTACATGCTTTTGGATACAAGCAGCGCTGCTGTGAATATTCTTGGATAGTTCTCCTGGTGCGTGTGTGCACACATTTCTACCGGGTACACACCTGGGAGTGGAATCCGTGGCTTGTAAGGCTTGCATATATTTTTAGAAGATACCACTAAATTATTTTCCAAAGTGGTTGTGCTAATGCACACCCCATCAACCAAGGTGTGCGAGTTCTCGTTGCTCTAAAATCCTTGATGATATTGGTATTATATGTAGTCTTGTAAATTTTAGCCCTTCTGCTGGGATGATCTCAATATGGTTTCAATTGTTGTGTCCCTGGTGAATTTTGCAATTGAGCAACTTTCATATTTTAGTAGGCAATTTAGATATTCTTTTTTAATGTGAAACGTCTGTTCAAATCCTCTCCCATTTTTCTATTGGTTTTCAGTCTTTCTCATTCTGTACTGTGGGGCTTTTAAAGCTGGATGTCGGTCCTTTTTCGGATACTTATTGCAATGTCTTCCTCGGTCTGTGGTTTGCCTGTTCCCTCTATGATAAGAGCCTTTGACAAACCACCACTCTAACTCTGATGTGCCCTTTATCAGTCTTTTCCTTTATGGTTAGAGCTTTTTCCGTCCCTTCCAGGAATTTTATCTACTCCAAGCTCTTGCAGCTGTTCTCCTGTTATTTTCTAGAAATATTTATTTTACTTTTATTTTATCTACAGTGTCATTGGAATTGACTTTTGTCTATAAGTAAGGGTTTATATTCACCTACAAATGGCCACTTTGCCTGGTTCTCATATTTATTGAAAATCCAGGCTTTCCACAGCACTGTGCAATTTCACCTTTGTCGTAAAACCAGCAGACATGTGGTCTGCCTCTGGAAACTGTTCGCTTCTGGTCAGCTGTCCGTTCTCATGCCAACACCACACTGTCCTAATTAATATTGCTTTTTTATTTTTACTTTTTAAAAGATTTTATTTATTTATTTTGAGAGAGAGAGAGGGAAAGAGCGTGAGAGAGGGAGCGCAAGAAAGAGTGTGAGTACACTAACAGAGGGGGAAGGGCAGAAGGAGAGGGAGAAGCAGGCTCCCTGCTGAGCAGGGAGCCCGATGTGGGACTCGAATCCAGGACCCCGGGATCATGACCTGAGCCGAAGGCAGACACCTAACTGACTGAGCCCCCCAGGTGCCCTTAGTTTTTTAGCAAGTCTTATTATCTAATAATTTTTCATGCAATATTATTCTTCTTCAACAAATCTGTGGCTGTTTTGGTCTCTTTATATTTTTCTGTGCATTTAAAAATCAACTTGTGAATTCCTACTGTTATCTTCTCAAAAAAACAAAACAAAACCAGAAACCCACTGGATTTTTAATACTTGGAATTGTGCTGACTTGGTAAGTCAATTTATATAAATTAACATGGAGTGACTCTTCCAATCCATAAGTATGGAATATCTCTCCATTTATATAGGTCAGCTTGAACTTCTCTCAAGAATTTTCTGTAACTTTCTTGTAGAAGTTACATCTTTCATTAGGCTTATTCCTAAAATATTTTGATATGTATTTTTGATGTAATTTTAAATGACATCATTAAAAGTTTTTCCTAAATATTTATTGTTGGTATATAGCTACATTTTTTTTTCTGATTTTCTGTCAATTACCAAAAGAATTATGTTAAAGCTTCCCATTATAATTGTGAATCTGTCTACTTCTTTCATTTCTATCCATGTCTTCATTTTATATTTTGAAGTTTCATAGGGTGCATATACATTTAGAATTATTATTTCTTCCTAGTGGTTTAACACACCGTATTAAATGTCTGTCTTATCTCTATATGTTTCTTTTTAATTTTTTAAATTTAAATTCAATTTAATTAACAAATACTGTATTATCAGTTTCAGAGGTAGAATTTAGTGGTTCATCAGTTGCGCATAACACCCAGTGCTCACCACTTCAAGTGACCTCCTTAATGCCCATCACTCAGTTTCCCCATCCCTCCATCCTCCTCCCCTCCAGCAACCCTCAGTTTCTCTAGATGTTTCTAACCTGAGAACCACATTGGAGGGGGCTCATCCACCTTTGGACCTGATTTAGAGGATTGAATCTGAATCTGAATCTGATGCTGTGATTGGATAAGTCTTTGGGGGTCTCTGGAGGTGGTGGGCTTATTTTTCATATAAGAAGGATGTGAATATTTGTGGCCAGAGGATGGACTGTCTCCAAAGAGACAACTTTTCTCACATCTGTATGTGCATTCTGCTCTTCCCATCAGAAAGTTCATTGTATATCCTTTACACTTGAATCTAGCTGACCTGTGACTTGCCAATAGAACATGACAGAAGTAAAGCTGAGCACATTGGAGCCTGGCCCTTCAAAGTCCTGGCAATGTTCATTTTTATTATCTTGGAGCCAGAAACTTCCTTGTGTGAAGTCTGAGTGCCCTACTGGAGAGTCTTACCAACTGCAGCTGCCCCAGCCTCCCCAGACAAGGCGCCAGACGTGTGAATGAAGCCATCTTGCGTGTTCCCACCCGGCTGCATTCCTAGCTGAATGCAGCTACCTGAGGGACACTAGCTGATCCAGGTGCATGGACAACCAACAGCATCATTGTTGTTTTAAGCCACAAGGTTTTGGGGTGGTTTTATATGCAGCAATAGGTAACTGAGATTGGCTTATTATGTCTTCCTTAGGAATGTTATTTTTTATCATTAAGTAATAATTCATTTTTCCCTAATAATGCCTTTGTCTTCAAGTTTATTTTTCTAATTAGATCAAGCTTGTTAATCATGTCATTCAAATCTGCACTCTTCCTAATTTTAGTCGGCCTCAGCTTCTGCTTTCTTATGCATGTATGTTTTAATTTTACCTTATTCTTTCTAATTTTTATATTTTATTTCTCTTGGCCTTTAATCATTGGCTAGACATTTACTGCTCACTAAATAGCCACATGCTCCCCATTTCCCAGCTTCCAAATAGTAGAGGACCATAGACGTGTCTGGTGGGCTGTGAGTGAAAGCGGTCCCTGCTACTCCCAGCCTGAAATAGACAAGAGCAGGTGTGCGTGTCCCAACAGCCCGTGTGTTCCAGAGAGTGCAGGTACAAAGTGGTGAAACCTGGCTCATCTTCCCTTTTGGGGGGAGCTCCCAACTCATATTGGATATGTAACTTGAAATAAAAATTAACTTTTAGGATATAGTAAGGAATATAGTCAGTGGTGTTGCAAAAATCTAGCTGAGAAACTATCTTGAACTGATGGTTTTTTTATAAGGTTGTTCCTTGGCAATGGTCTAAATTTCTGCCATGATAATTTATCTGTTCAGACTTTCTTCCTTATCTCAGGACAATTTTTATTTTTATTTTATTTATTTTTTCTGGTTTTTATTTCCTGGTATTTATGTCTTTATTTCAAAATAACCAGCTCTCGAATTTTATTATGGTTCTTTTTCCTGTTTTGTAATTTATACATTTCTGCTTTTCTTACATGTATTGTTTTCTTCAAATTATTCAATAAAATGTTAACCTATTTTAATTTTTTTTCCTGTTGAGCAATATGAATATTTAAGGCTATGGATTTTTTTTTTCTGTGCTTTGGCTATATTTTGTAAGTTCTGATACAGTCTTTATTACAGCATGTCCTAGATAGTTTACAATTTTAGTTTTGATTTTCTCTTTGAAACAGGAATTTTTAGAGTTTTCAAATATCTACATGGTAGGTTTTTCTTTTTCTATTTTTTGATATTAATAATGACGTTTTGTTAACCATTCCATTTAAATCAAAGAATATGGTGTGTACATATCCTAGTTTCTGGAATTTACTGGGAGTTTCTGTAACCCTAAAGTGGTCTTTATTGTTGTTGTTAAGTATTCCATTAAAAGGAGTGTGTATTCTTTATCTTAAAGAAAGAAAGTTCTACATATATTTAGGAGAGCCCGCTGATTAAATATGTTAAGTAAATCTTTAGTATTCTCATGTAATACTTAACTTTTGGTTGATCTATAAATTGTAAAATTATGTGCTCTGATAGATGGCAACTCATGATCAATCTTAGGTTCTATATCATTATATAGTACCCTTCTTTTGGTATAATTTAAAATTTTTTTCTTTTTAGCTTGAATTAGATTTGT